TCAGGTGCTACACTGTTAGGTGCATATATACTTATAATTGTTATATCCTATTGATAAATTGACCCCTTTATCATTATATAATGCCCTTCTTTTGTCTTTTTTTAAATACTTTTTGACTTAAAGTCTATTTTGTCTAGTGTAGCTATCGCTATCCTTGTTCTTATTTGGTTTCCTTTCGTGTGGAATATCTTTTTCCATCCTTTAATGTTCAATCGATGTGTTCCTTGAAAAGTGGAGTGTGTAGCTAAAGTGAAGTGGATCGTGATGAATGGACCAAATGCTATGCTCAGTATATTATATTCGATTGTGGCAAAACTAATACCTGCTTATTGTCAAAATTTGCTGCAGTGGGCCGGGCGCGGTGGCTCAAGCCTGTAATCCCAGCACTTTGGGAGGCCGAGGCGGGCGGATCACGAGGTCAGGAAATCGAGACCATCTTGGCTAACACGGTAAAACCCCGTCTCTACTAAAAAAATACAAAAAACTAGTCGGGCGAAGTGGCAGGCACCTGCAGTCCCAGCTATTCGGGAGGCTGAGGCAGGAGAACGGCGGGAACCCGGGAGGCGGAGCTTGCAGTGAACCGAGATCGCGCCACCGCACTCCAGCCTGGGCGACAGAGCAAGACTCCATCTCAAAAAAAAAAAAAAAAAAACCAAAAAAACTCTATAGGAAGAAACACAAGTAATCTGAGTAAGAAAGAAGTAAAGGACTTTCATAGATATTTCTTTAGAAAAGGCATACAAATGGGTAACAGATACATAAAAAAAGTTAGGTATCACTAATCATTAGGGAGATGCCAATTAAAACCACAATGAGACATTACCTTTCATGTGTTAGAATGGCTATCATGAAAAGGACAAAAGACTAGCATTGGCAAGGACTGGAGAAAAGGGAACTTACGCACTATTGGAAGAAATGTAAATTAGTGTATCCATTATAGAAAACTGTATAGAGATTCCTCAAAAAACTAAAACTAGATTTTCCATATGATCTAGCAATCCTACCTTTGGGTATTTACCCAAAGATTTTAAATCAGTATGTTGAAGAGATGTCTGCACTCCCATGTTTATTGCAACACTATTCATAATAGCCAAGCTGTGGGATTAACCTAAGTGCCCATCAACAGATGAAAGGTGTTTTGAAAATGTGGAATGTATTTACAACGAAATAATATTCAACCTGAAAAAAGAAAGTTTGTAATTTGCGCCAACATGGATAGAATTGGAGAACACATGCTAAGTGATAAGCCAAACGTAAAAAGCCAAACATATTCTCACTTATATATGGAATATAAAACAATTGCAGCTATAGAAGTAGAGAGTAGAACAGTGGTTACCAGGGGCTGGTGAGTAGAAGGGATGAGGAGATGATAAGCAAAGGGGTACAAAGCCTAAGATTGGAGGAATAAGTCTGTTTCTTTTTGAGATCTGTTGCATAGCATGGTGAATATAGATAATACTGGAGTACTGTACATTATATCATTAAGAGAGTATATCTCCAATGTTCTCATCACAAAAATGTCAAATATTTAAGGTGATGGACAGTTTTATAGCTTAATTTATGATTCTACCTATATTTTAAAAAAATCACTTTGTACCTTATAAAACTATAATTTGTCAAAATATAAACTTTAAACAAAATCGACGAGAAATAAGGGATGGATGAAAAATAAAATGGCAAGATGAATACACATTTCTTCTGCAAGTTTTATATAGTTGCTAAATGAATGAATTTTTATATAGTTGCTAAATGAATTTGCCTGTAGCACCAGCAGAAAGTAAAAAAGAATGAAATACAAAATTTATAATCACTAAAATATGGACTCAAGCCAGTTTTCAAAAAGGTCACAAATGAGTTTTGAGAGAACCATTTTATGTGTCTCTGCATTCTCAGAAGTATGCTGTATTAGTCCGTTCTCATGCTGCTAATAAAGACACACCCGAGGCTGGGTAATTTATAAAGGAAAGAGGTTTAATGAACTCATAGTTCCACATGACTGAGGAGACCTCACAATCAAGGTGGAAAGTGGAGGAGGAGCAAAGGCACCTCTTACATGGGACAGGCAAGAAAGCGTGTGCAGGAGTACTGCCCTTCATAAAACCATCAGATCTCGTGAGATTAGTCACTGTCACAAGAACCGCATGAGAAAAACCTGCCCCCAGATTCAGTCACTTCCTGCCTGGTCCCTCCCATGACACATGCGGATTATGGGAACTACAATTCAAGATGAGATTTGGGTGGGGACACAGTCAAACCATATTATATGCCACTGTAATTTTCATTTCGTTCATTCACTATTTATACAATAATTATTTCTTGAACACCTTCTATTTGTTAGGGTTGTGCTATTGGCTTGAGGATAGAAAGGATAAAACAGTGCCGGGCACAGTGGCTCATGCCTGTAATCCCAGCACGTTGGGAGACTGAAGTGGGCTGATCATCTGAAGTTGGGAGTTCAAGACCAGCCTACCAACATGGAGAAACCCCGTCTCTACTAAAAATACAAAATTAGCTGCACGTAGTGGTGCATGCCTGTAATCCCAGCTACTCGGGAGGCTGAGGCAGGAGATCGCTTGAGCCTGGGAGGTGGAGTTTGCGGTGAGCTGAGATCGTGCCATTGCACTCCAGCCTGGGCAACAACAGTGAAACACCATCTCAAAAGGCAAAAAAAAAAAAAAAAAAAAAAAAAAGAAAGAAAAGAATAAAACAGAATCCATGTCTTACAGATAAGCAGGGTCTAGGGTAAAAGAATAATGATTGTATCTTTCTTTGGCTTTCATCACTTCATGTTTGAGTGAGGGGTAAGAAAACGTGACAGGCAGGAACGGACTTGGATTGAGGTTACAATAGGAGATGAGGCCTGAAGGAGGATTTGAAACAAAAATGAAGCACTCGTGTGTGCTGATAGTGCCTGGTCACAGAAACACCATTAATTCCTTTGACTTGACTACATCTATTTCTAACTACAATCTGTCGTTTAAGGATCCCTCTAGGTGACCTGGACTCTGAGTTTGAGAGGTTCCTTGGATTCTTAGGAAATCATGTGGCTTTAGTGATAAAGTGAAGCAGTGTGGTAAGAAAATGCAAAGTCAGCTGGTTTCAGAAAGGCTCTGAACTGTGTGTGTGTGTGTGTATGTGTGTATACAAATATTTATCACTAACAGAGTGATGTATGCCTGGCTGTCTGATGAAAGATGACCCTTTCACCTCTGTAAATAACTCTTAAAAGCTGTGCACAGACTTTCAAAATTGCTTTTCCTCGTTTCTCCATCCAGAATTTATCGAATTTATCTTGGTCTTTTTGGGCTGCTGTAACAAAATATCATAAACTGGGTAGCTTATACACAACAGAAATTTGTTTCTCACAGTTTCGGAGGCTGGAAAAATCCAAGATCAAGATGCTGGTAGATTTGGCATGTGGTGAGGGCTTGTATCCTTTTTCATCCATGGTGCCATCTTGCTGTATCCCCACATGATAGAAGGGGCAAGGGAGCTCTTTAAGGACTTTTTTTTTCCTTTTAGAGACAGATTCTCACTATTATGCCCACACTGGAGTGTGGTGGCTCTTCATAGGCACGGTCATAGTGCACTGCAGCCTCAAAACCCTGGAATCAAGCAATCCTCCCACCCCAGCCTCCTTACTAGCTGGGACTATAGGTGCATGCCACCATTCCCATCTCTGAGACTCATTCATGAGGGCAGAACTCTGCCTTCATGACCTAATCTCCTCCCCAAAATCCCCATCTCCTAATATCATCACCTTGGAGGTTAAGGTTTCAACATACGAATTTTGGATGTGCACAAATATTCAGACTGTAGCAGAGGGAAAGCAGGCAAAATAATTTGTTGCAGTGGTCACAGCTCCTGCCCAGTTTTCATGGCCATGTCTTCGGCCACTTTTAGCCATGAGCCCGTAGAGAGAGAAATAGCTCAAATTATAATACTTGGGCCTAATGATATGTGTGTGAGTGACTTTAACCACCTAGACATTCAGCTTGTATTTCTAAGTGAAAATCATATCAAGAGTTATGTCTGCGTTCAGAGTTTTAAAGAAAACAATGTCAGTTAAATAACACATTGTAAACCAAAATTAAATTCAACCCCCCCATCCATCTGAATGGAACCTTCTTCTCAGCCAAGCGCATTCCAAAGTTAACCTGAAAAACAAGTTCAGGCCATGATGAGAAGTGGGAGCTGGACATGCCTCATTTGTGCCCTCCTCCCTTTTGGAATTGCTGATAGAACAGACTCTAAGTCTGTTAAGAAACATTTATAGTCTGTTCTCTCTGAAGCCTGCTACCTGGAAGCTTCATCTGCATAAATCCTTGGTCTCTACAACCCCTTATAGTAATTCAGACATTCCTTGCTATTGATAATAACTCTTTCAACCAATTGCCAATCAGACAATCTTTGCCTCTGCCTATGACCTGGAAGCCCCCCCTTCCAGCTGTCCTGCCTTTCCGGACTGAACCAATATACATTTTACATGTGTTGATTGATGTCTTATGTCTCCCTAAAATGTATAAAACTATTGGGTACACGGTCTCAGGATCTCCTGAAGGTTCTGTCATGGGCCATCGGTCACTCACATTTGACTCAGAATAAATATCTTCAAATATTTTACAGAGTTCGACTGTTTTTATTGACAGCATGATGCCAGCATATGTGTTTCATTTTTAATTTGAAACAGTAGATATCATAGTGATCTTTTCTGGACTGCTTTTGAGTAGGAAGAAGAAGAGCAAACTCATTCAGAAGCCTGGATACTACACTTGAATTATTTAACAGGGTCTAGCACTTGAAGTGGGGTTTGAAGGCTGTGTTGAGGAATAAGCACAAAGATCTTGGGCATGTTCACTAGAGAATAGCTTTCCCTTCTCTGGCAGTGATAATCATATCCCCACCCATTTTTCATGGAATGTTGATAAGTTGGCACATCTTCAGTTTCCCAAGAGAAAGCAACACCACTTACTTCTCTTTGTCTTTGTTTCCTCTTTCAGTCCCAGCAGAAGTGCATCGTGATCTTTGCCCTGGTGTGCTGCTTTGCCATTCTCGTTGCACTGATCTTTTCAGCCGTGGACATCATGGGAGAGGATGAGGATGGACTCTCGGAAAAAAATTGCCAAAATAAATGTCGGTAAGAGGTAACAAACAAAAATTCTCTTTTAGGGGGTGGGCAAGAAATCCAAAGAGGGCCTTGAATAATGGAGAAGAAAATACATAAACACATGTTAGTCATCCAGGCTCCCCTTGGCTTAAGCTGAGGCATGAGTCTGTCCACTGGTGCTCTTACTTTTAGGGCAAGTAATGAGTAATCATTGAATTCACTTTACAGTCTGGTCATATTCTCTACAGGCTGGTGGGCAACAAAAAATTTTTGTAACAGTCTGCATTTCTGGAGACCACTGTATATGAGGTTTGTTTTGGGTGTTCTATGATGAGCTTGTAAAAATGAGTGACCCAGTGGACAAAGAACGCTGTGCTAGTTGTTCCATCAAATGCCAGTTAAAAAATACACATCTCAGGGAAAATTCTAACAAAGTTAGGGATTGAAGAAGTAAGTGTGTCTATGAGAATACACAGGGCTCCTCAACCTGTTCCAATTTAGCACACAGTTTGTTTTTAATCTAGAAACTACAATAGCTTTATTCTTTTATGTATGCATTATGTCTCTTCATTTACATTAAGTAGCATTGCCTGAGGGCCATTGCTGACCAGCAGAGACATCGCAGCATAATCTCAACCCCAGAAATCTCCTCATCAAACTCTTCTCTGAGCTGCTACTGTTTTTCCAGGTTTGGGGAGGGTGAAGAAAAGTACCAAAAACAGGCAGATAAATAAGAGGTCTATTTTTATATACATATTGCTGCAAAGCTGAAGTGAGGCCACTAAATTACAACAGTAATTATGAATTAGAGCTTATCATAAATTTAAATTGTTATATTTCCCCAATGGAAAGCATTAGCCTAAGACCCCCCCGCCACTTTCCTAACTTAAAATAAACAACAACCTTATAATCTGTATGTGAGTTTCATCCTGGATATTTTGCTTTGAGGTTGAATGTTCTGGCGCAGGAAATGTTCTGAAAAGACAATTGGCTTTTTCTTTTTTTATAAAACCTATGGTACCTTATAGTCTAGTTACTAGGCAACAGGCATTATATACAGAACAGAGCATACAAGAAAGAAATCAATACACATTTTAGATTTTCTTCCTTCATGTTAGAAAGGTATTCCATAATATTATGTAGCCATAAAAGGAACAAGATCACATCCTTTGTAGGGACATGCATGGCTTTGGAAGCCATTATCCTTAGCAAGCTAATGCAGGAAGACAAAGCCAAATACTGCATGTTCTGACTTCTAAGTGGGAGCTAAATGATGAGAACACATGGACACATGGTGGGGAACAACACACCCCAGAGCCTGTTGGAGGGTCAGGGGTGGGAGGAGGGAGAGCGTCAGGAAGAATAGTTAAAGGATGCTGGGCTTAATATCTGGGTGATGGGATGATCTGTGCAGCAAACCATCACCCACACTTCCCTAGGTAATAAACCTGCACATCCTGCACATGTACCCCTGAACTTAAAAGCTGGAAATTTTAAAAAAAGGTATTTCATAAATATATTTACTTTCCAGACTGGATTTAGGTGAAAAATTGTTTCGTGATTACTGTAATGGAAGCAACAGAAGAACAGTAGATTACTGTCATCTTTTGCTAATGCTATTGCATGGCAAATATACATAGACAAGGGGACCATGACTCATATTTATTGAATGAGAACACACTGCTTCTCTCTCTCCTCACCTTAAAGCGAAGAGTGCTGTGTATTTTAAATGCAAACCCGAACACCTAGATCACCTAGAACACCTAGAACACCTTGATCATGGAGATCAAACCATAGCAGCTTCCTTAAAACAAAATGCCTGATCATTTCAATGCACATTACCAGGTATTGGTAATTTTCAACAGCAGTCATTTTTTTTAACTTGGAGGAAGCTAAAATTTGCTTTAATTTTTATTTTTAACTCATGTAACTGGAGTTGGGGTCTGGCTATTTCTTCTTCCAATCAGTAACTAAATTCTAATAACTTAATACTACTTCTCCCACCATCTAGAATATATTATTCTAGCTACTATGCATTCTCTTTTCCTGTGGGTGGTTGGACTCACTACCCGGGTTACTAGATAACATATATCATATATATATATGTGATATTGTATATGATATATGATTGTATATATGTATATATGTGTATATATGTGTGTGTATGTGTATCTCTATATATCTATATATAGATATCTATATATAGATATATGTGTGTATGTGTATCTCTCTATATATAGATATCTATATATATGTAGATATGTGTGTGTATGTGTATCTCTCTATATATAGATATCTATATATATAGATATCTATATAGATATATCTATGTATCTCTCTATATATAGAGATATCTATAGAGATATCTATAGATATCTATAGAGATACATAGATATATCTATATCTATATATATATATATAGAGAGAGAGAGAGAGAGAGACATCTTTTCCAAAACATACGTCCCCTCTAGGTCTTTCCTCTGCAGCTTCTTGCCCTGTGCCCTGGGTTTCTGTTCTGCGTTCTCAGACATTACAACATGCGCTTCTGGTATATCTGCCCTAGAACTGGTATCTTGCTTCCCGTAACTTCATCCTCAGGAAGTTTCTGCCTTGGCTCCTCTCTCCAATGCACAGGATGAGGAGGTAGGGTTACTGCATCTCCTTATGCCCCAATCCAGTTTCCAACCTGTTGTTTCACTACCTTTTCTGGATTATTCTCATTTGAATTTGATTCAATCTTCCACAAGCTCTTCTCCTGATAGGGTCTGAGGACAGCTGTGGGCTTTAGGTCAGTGTTGACATCAGGGTTGACAGAATCCTTCTGGAAGTCATATTCTGCCAACGGAGGGTACTCCAGGAGAATACAACGTTTCTGGAGTTCCTCAATCATTTCCTGGGGAGTGAGCCTTTCGTGCCTGGCTAACAGACCTCCACCCATCCATCTCATCCCTTGCCAATGTTTTTAGCAACTTAAGAATTTACTTCCCAAGACTCTAGCCTTGCCATTTTGTAAGCATTTCAAGTCAATACATTTAATGCCCACTTCATCCTCACACCTACCTGCCAGCAAGCAACTCCACTTCCAAGCTAGCCTAACACAGTTAACAACCATGGACTTTGAAATTAGGAAGATCTGAATTCAAATCTTGCTTCTACTACTTACTAACTGTAAGCTTGGGGAAGATATGAATTGAATTATTTCATTCATCCCCGATCAGCAGAGCACCAAGAGACTGCACAAGGAGTTACAGTAGAGTCATGAGACTGTTGCGGCAATTTACGGTGGTCATAACTACAATGGGTGATATGGTTTGGCTGTGCGCCATTCAGACCTCAACTTGTATTATATCTCCCAGAATCCCCACATGTTGTGGGAAGGACCCAGAAGGAGGTCACTGAATCATGGGGCCATCTTTCCCGTGCTATTCTGATAGGGAATAAGTCTCACGAGATCTGATGGATTTATCAGCAGTTTCTGCTTTTGCTTCTCTCTCATTTTCTCTTGCCACTGCAACCTTTCACCTCCTGCCATGGTTCTGAGGCCTCCTCAGCCCAGTGGAACTGTAAGTCCAATTAAACGCTTTTTTGTTCCCAGTTTCAGGTATGTCTTTGTCAGGAGTGTGAAAATGGACTAACAAAATGGGGATGTCAGAGAGGGTCTGGGAGAGTGACCTGACATAGTGAAAAGAATAAATTCGGCGTGGGATGCCTCTTCACCCTTAATGGGTTATGAAAGCTCTTTTAATTTAATTTTCCTTAAAAATGATAGATTAAAAAAATCTGTCTCACAAAGTTTATGAGGATTTAGTAAATTGTATAAACCCATGGCAAAGCATCAGGAAACTCATTAAAAATAATATGCAAATGTTAATTATCTCCTTGTTCCTCCAAAGAGTCTAGAAATTCCTCTTCTCTATTCACAACCTACTTCCTTTTCCTCTCACTTCTTCACTTATCCTGAATCTATCCTGACTTTAGTCTTTGGTTCTATGGAAATATACAAAGACAAATCACACGAGAGCAGAGGCTATTTAGTTAGAGCTTGCTGCAGCAAGGGAGTCACCCACCATCAATTGTGTTTTGCAGAGACTCAAAGGCAGGCAGAGAAATGGGAAAACTTCATAGTGGAAGAAAGAAGGCTCTAGGTGTGCTCTGATTAGAGGCTATTGGCTTGGGTAGGCTGTAGGTGGGATAACTGGAAGTGATATCCTATGTAATTGGTTAGAGGGTCATACTTGACTTTTTCTGGTTGGTCCTGAATTAGAAGTAGGAACAAAAATTAAGGAAGCTGTTGGTCATTAGTCAAGTCCTGGCCATTTGGGGCCAGCTGTTACAGAAATTATTGTTTAGCTTCCTGGATTGTTACTAGAGATAGCAATCTGACTTCCTACAAGTCTAACTTACAGCAGACTGGCTTCCTGGACTGGTTATTGCAGAAAAGGGGTTAGTTTCCTGGGCAGGAGCCTACAGATTGTGCAGCCTTCATATATGATTTGGTCATTGTCCATTTGTTTATTCAGTCTCTTACTTCCCTGAATCTCCTCCTCTGTCAACCCCTTCTGTCTTAATTTTCTTCCCATCCATTTGCCAGATCATGATTAGCATACCGCCAAGCTTCCTGCAGCATCCTGAAGTCTCGCTTGGATTTTTTTTTTTTTTTTTTTTTTTTTTTTTTGCCTCAATCTGACAGCCAATTCTTAAACTGATTGACTCCTGGTTTTACCCATCCTTGTCCTCAGGGCAGCCTCAGCCATTGGTCCAGGCCCTCATAAGTCTTCAGGGAGAGTAGGTTCTATTGTTCAGTTCTAGATTCCTCCAGGCAGTCATGTCCCTGTTAAAAGAGATGAGGGCTTTTTCGGAGATGCACCATTGAATATACTGGCACTGACACAGACCTGTACGAAAATCCACTAGTCTACTGAAGTTCTTGAGCATGCCAGTCTCAGCTTGAACCTTTCTCTAGAAAATTCCAGTTCTTCCTCTCATGACCTCATCCCTTTCCTGGAGCTAACCTCCCTGGACTCCTTCCC